AGCCGGGGCGAGGCAAGAAAGAACAAGACCTGCAAAATGAGAACACAGCAGATTGTGGCCGAGGTCAGGCCCAGATGTCCCTCTCAGTCCTTAAAGTGTTTAGGTTTTGACCCTCAGGCAGTAGGGGGAAGAGGGATCCTGGACAATTTTTAGACAGAGGAAAATACTGCTTGGATTTATGTTTGAAGAGTGTGGAGGTGATGGTCCAGGCCTGGGGGAGGTGACAGGGTCTGAACCAGAGCTGTCACAGTGATGATGGAGTTGGGGGCAACTCTGAGATATGTTGAGCCGAGCATCTGGGATCCACAGGACTCGGAGACCGTTTGAATGTGCAGGGTGAGGAGAAGGTTCTAGGCTGCTCCACCACTGGCTGTCTTGGGGAGTAGGAGGTCACAGCCGTGACGCTGACCACAGTTCCACTGAGTACTGCAGAAATGGCCTCCTCCAGAGCAGCAGAAGGAGCAGGGCTTTCCCTGTGGTTGGGAGGGCCTGCTGTCCTCCAGCTATTTGGGGTCCCCCCGGGGATGAACAGGCTGGGAGTAGGGACCTGGAACTGGCATGTCTTTCATGGCCACCCCTTCCTGTTCTCGAACCAAGTCATGGCCATGGCACTTAGTTACTGGTCACTGCCCTTTACCTAACTTTGTACATAACATTGTCTGGCTGAAAAGTCTCAACGCCTGTGAAGCCGGCAGTCTTATCTCAGTTTGACAAATGAGAAACAGACACTCAGAGGGCTTAGATCCTAGACCGTGGTCTCCAAGTGAAGGGGCGGGGCCGGACCGGTCCCACTCTAAACCCATGCCACTGCCCAACCTGTCCGTGCCTGGAGCCCTCTGGGGTGGTGGTGTCTGCACCAGCCCCAACATGGAGAAGACAGGCTACTGAGCAGACAGGTGCCCAGTGATCCAAACCCACAGGGCAGCCAGCCCTAGACAACAGTGTGGCCTAATAGCCGGTGGACGTTCGCAGCGCTTGGCTTCCTCAGGAACCGGGGACAAGAGCAGAACTGCTACTAGGATTTTGAAGGTGACCGCCAAGGTGACTTCCCAACTCAGAGTCAGGAAGTCAGCTGCCATTCTTTGGGAACTGGTAACCAGTGTCGGTGTTTTGATTCCTCTTTCTTAAAATAGCAAGCTGAGTTACTTTTGTGGTTAAAGACAGAAACAAAACTATATCCCCAGATTCCTGTGGGTTTAAATATCTGCCCTTAATGGAACACACCTACCCTGTGGAAACCTTTATTAAGGAAGTCGTATAACTCTCCAGTCCTGCAGTCCACTCCCAGACCTGAAAGAAGTCGGCCAGTGATGGGTGGATGGGCCCGTCCTGGTCTGGGCACGCCTTTCCTCTGAAATTGCTCAGATGGGTCTTGTCTCTCTTTTGCCTCTCCCCCTCCCCCCTGCTGCTTAGGCTGACTGAAACTCCCCTTTTCCCCTCGTCCCCGCCAAAACACTCCATCCTCTGAATGAATGGCTCTGCCCACTGCTGGCACTCAGGACTAAAGAACTTGTCAGCTGTGTTCAGGTTGGCATCAGACCCATGTTCCAGGTCCTTCTGCGCCCACCTTGATCCCTTGGGGTGGCATTCGTGAATTATAAGTGTCTCAGCTGCCCCCTTTCAAAAATGACCATAGTCCTTTCTAAAACCTTGTGCTCGCTCCTTCAGGAGAAGAGAGGTGTCTTTCGTTTTCAGGGGTTACTGGGACGGTCATGGGGGGAATCTGATTGAGGAACCACTACGAGGCCTGCTGCTGAAAAAAGGGGTCCGGGAGGAGGGGACAAGTGGCCTGAGTGTTGCAGAGGACCCTTCAGGGAAAGCAGAGCTCCCTGACCTCTGATGAGAGATAGGGCCAGTGACATCAGTGGCCACTCCTCCCTTACCACTGTGTGACATTGCTACGCCTCCACTTCCTCATTGGTTAGATGAGGGCAATGATGGACACCTTACAGGGCTGTGAGGGCAAATCCCATTCCTTATGGTAACAGCTAATGGCACTCGGTGCTACACAGCGTACAACTTGGGAAGTTGAAGCGATCCTGCTGTGGAAGGGCCTAGAGGCCTGGCTGAGGGCTGGCGGGGGGCTTAAAGGGTTTGGGGCACAGGCCGACACGGTCACTTTCAAGTTTCAGAAAGTTCTCTCTGGGCAGGAGGGAGAATGGATGGGGAGGAGCAAGGCAGGAGGGGCTGAGGCGGGGCTGAGAGGGTCGGGATGGTGGCCGGCTCGGACAGTGGCAGAGGGCAGGGCGGCCAGGGAATGGGTAGGATATAGAGAAAGTCAGCAGCTGGAATTGGCAGAGCTTCGTGGCCAGTTAGAGGTAGTCCAGGAGTCAAGGATGACTAATCCTTCAGGCCCATGTGACGAGGGGTCACTGAGAAGTGGCTCCTGAAGAAGGTGCAGGCTCTGCTTTGGTGATTAGCCACCGCCTCCCAAACTCACCGCCCTCTCTGCTCAGAGGAGCACTTGTCCAGCTCTCTTTGGCTATCCCCATGTGGCTCGGTAAGTCCCCAAGGGTGAGGAGTGTGACACAAAGAAGCCACCCTCAGGACATAGTTGTCAGGTGAACACGTTCGTCTTCCCGTGCTTTTAAAGGGAGCATTTCCTCATCCCCTCCCCCAGCCGTCATCTAGGGAATAAAGCAGCCCGCCCTGCTGCTGGGTCCCTACCTGGATGCCTCAGCTGGGCCTGGCAGGTGTCCTGGGCCACCCTTGCATCCATCTGGCCACAGGACCCAAGGAAGGACCTAGGGAGGTGGAATGAAGTCAGGCTGATTTCAAAAGCAAGGTCACAGAAGCCACAGTTAGGAGACGGTGACTGTGCTGGCCCAGCCCAGGCAATGCCCTGCAGGATGGGCCTGCCTGCCCAGCTAGAAGAGGGCCCTGCCCAGTCACACGGTGACAGCCCCCCTCTGTCCTGACAGGCCCAGGCTCAGAGCCTTGCCTCTTTGGGTGCCACGGGGTGGGGACCTCATCCATCTTGTCCACCATTGCATTCCTAGTACCTGGAGCCAGCCTGACACATCAGTGCCTGTACAGCAAGTAAGGGGCGACTTAGCCTCCCTGGGCCGCAGCTGTCCCTGTGAACGGGGTGCAGAGGGAGCCTCCCTTGTAGGATGGTTGTACCATCACATCACGTTCCGCGTGCCTGGTCCATCCAGCATTCTTGGTAGATGTTGGCTGACACTGCTATGGCAACGGGCCTGCTGAGGTCAGCAAGTAGGTGAGCACGCCTCGCCCGGAGCCAGGGTCTAGAAGCCAAGGAGACGGCCATAATGGAGAGGGACTTGGAGAGCGCCCTGTGTTAGGACACTAAGGGTCTCACGGTCTGAACCTTAAAACATTAATGAAATCCTGTCTTGTCACGCACCTATTATATATGGGAAAATGTACGTGTGTGCCTGACATGCCAGCTGGGAGTGAATGTGCATGATGGAATGTCGCCTAGAAAAAGCAGTGTGCAAAATTGTCTATGCACCCTGTGGTGGAACGTATCTTAAAAACTCGTCTGCATGCAGACGGAATCTAGAAGGGTTCAGAGGTCTGTGGCAAGTAAGGGATGGTACATCACTTTTTAAAGAACATCTTTGGATGTCCTGGCATTGTCACTTCCTGCATTCATCATTCACCTACTGCCTCTCACACTAGAGCAAAGAGGAGGAGGCCAGCCCGGACCCTGCACGGAGCAGAGCTTCAGCAGCTGGCCACAGACCCTGGCCTTGACAGGCCTTGAGAATCTCATAGCTGACCCTTGCCCTGGAAATCTTACCCTAAGAATCAGCACAGCCCAAACTAGATAAAGATGATGGTTGCACGAATGTACTAAATGCCACTGAATCATACATTCTAAAGTGGTTAATTTTATATTATGTGACCTTCACTTCAATTAAAAAAAAAAAGAACTGTGACCACTTACCGAGCCCCTGTTTTGTTCCAGGTACTTCCTGGGTGGCTCGTTTGTGTCATCCGCACTCCTCAGGGCAGGTCTGCAGGGCGGCTCAGGGTCTACACAGTCTGCAGACAGAAAGTGGCTCAACAGGGAAGGCCAAGGCCAGGCCACTGTTGATAACGGAGTCTGGGTGTAAACTACACCATGTCCTTGCCTTGGTAGTAAAGAACGTCTCTAGGACATGTGAGAGGAAGCTGGTTACAGTGGGGCCTCTGGGAAGTCAGGGCGGGGGGCAAGAGAAGCAGCTAGATTTACTCTCCACTGCATGCCACTTTGGAACTTTCTGAACCATGCGAATGGTTACCAAATCAAAACTATTTTATTTATAAAAATAATACGTATTCCGTATTGTCACATCAAAAACAAGCACTCTGAGGCCATGCCTCCTGGATTCCTATCCCCGCTCATCCATTTGGCGCTCTGAGCCACGGCTTCCTCAGCAATCAAAGGACAGTGGTAGCCTAGCCTCGTGTGGCTACTAGTGAGAATTAAGTGACAAAATGGGACAGTGCAGGTAATACAGTGTACACAGCACCAGGCCCATCTCGGGCGCCCAGAAAGCATCCATTGTCATCCCTCCTCTCCATCTCTTCCCACACCACCCCCCTACCACACACCCCCCACCCCACTATTTGAGTTTGTCATCTGGGACCCACACGCCTTTGTGACTTATGGTTTCTTTTCCTCAGAGAAAGCCACAGACGGCTCCTTGCAGAGCGAAGACTGGGCACTCAACATGGAGATCTGCGACATCATCAACGAGACGGAGGAAGGGTGAGACTGGGGCCCAGGCGGGGTGGGCCACTGCGACACCCCGCCTCCTGCCAGAGCTCCCCCACCCCCGTCCCGCCACTTCCGTACACATAGGCAGACCCCGCTTGTGGCCCTCAGTGTCAGGAGGGGCTGCAGAGGTTGTCAGGGCCCCACCCCAGGCAGGAATGTGGCATTTTAAACATTGCGGAACCGAGATCCTGTCCAGCCCTCTCATCAAGTGGACGAGAGGCCCAGAGACGCCGGGCTTGCAGCTGGCCACGGGGCGCTGCCAGCCCACACAGCCTCTCCTGGCTTTGTTGGTGAGCAAGAATAGACTTTCATTTCCTTAAGATTTGAATCCAGCAGGGAGGGTCGGGGATCACGGGGAGGGCAGTGAAAGCGAAGCAGAACTGAGAGGCTAATTATGGTTGACCTTTGCTAAGCATATCCGGTGCACAGGTCACCGTGTCCTGCTCAATGCCGAGGAGCTCTGCCAAGGTACTTGCATGGTGAGGGGGAGGCGTCACGGGCCTGGCTCCTGATCCCTGACTAGCCATCACAGGCCAGCTGTGTGACCTTGGGCAAGTCACTTTACCTCTCTAGGTCTTTGTCCTCAGAGGCAAACTCTTTTCAGTCCTAAGCCCAAAGCCCTGAGGGGAGCAGAGAGGGGATGCAGGATCCACTGTCCTTCTCAGGACAAACCTGGGAAGGGCAGGGAGGGGTGTGATGACCATAGCCAGCAGGAAGTGCACCCAGACGAGGCCTCTCTTCTGGAAAATCAGGATCAAGAGTTGGAGCAGGAACCCTATTTTTCACTGGGTCCTCTCAGCCAGGCAGTGCTTTGCATGCAGAGGGCAGGCTGGAAGCAGGCAGGGGCTGGGAGCGCCCAGCCCAGAGCCCAAGGGAAACTGTGGGTGTCTGCATCACAGAACCCTAATGGCTGTGGGTGTCTGCATCACAGAACCCTAAAGGCTGCTGGACACCTTCCAGTATCCCCAGTGGTGCTCCATGGGCTTGTCAAGGAGCTAGGAGGGGACATTTGTACCCATGTCTAAACTCGTAAGAGTTGGGGGAGAGACTGGTGGACAGAAGGCAGGGCCACCAGAGAGAAGATAGGAGGCAGAAAACCTCATGGGGCCTCTCAGAAGGCCTGGGGCTTCATGAACGTCGGGGCTGAGTCACTGCTGGGTCCTTGGAGAGGCAAGTCCCCATCTCCCTTAGAAACTTTGGCAGAACTGGGGCTCAGACTCACTCGGGTGTGTGCTGTTGATCTGAGCACCTCCTGTGTTTCAGGCACATCACGAGGCATGGGGACCCAGCAGTGAGCAAAGTAAGCTTGTCATCTAAACTTTGGTCTCTTGTCCATTCCCCCATTGGACTGTGGCCTTCTTGTCATCCACGTTGTGCTCCTAGCAGAGTACTAGACATACAGTAGGCCCACAGCAGTGGCACACTAGCCAGAACTTCTGATTACCAGTGCCATGCCCTTTCTCTGGGCCACTCTGTAAGAAGTGGAGACAAGCCCCTTTGAAGCCGAAGTGGCCACAGGTGAGCAGCCCAGCCAGGGGCAGAAACCAGCTTCCACTAGAAGGAGCCTGGAGGGTGAGGGCCTGTCCCAAGGCATTGGGTTGAAAACTACCCTCATGCTTCTGGGACAGGGCCCAGGGTCCCTCACCCTGCGTGTCCTCTCTATCACAGCCCTGAAAGGCCTCCACAGCTCTGCCCCCTCATGGAGTCTGTTCCCGGGAAGGCTTTCCCACCACCTCCTCTCGTGTTGGGGGACCCACGTCAGGGTTGCTGACTCTCCTGACTTGCCCTTAACTGGTCAGCACTGATAGGCCGACAGACACCCGGTCAGACAGCAGGACGGTCCCCAACAGCCACTTGCTGGCCTGGGAAATGTTGCGTTCCCACAGCATGTTGGGCCCGGGGAGGCAAGGTGTCAAATAGGCTGCTGTCCCTGCCCTCTGGGGGGATCTTCTGTAGCCAGCAGGCCCTGGTGAGTGCCTCATGACAGTGCACGCTGGGGAGTCGGGGACTGGGAAGGCGTGGCAGGGGACGACGTGGACGTTGGGGCACCACAAAGGCCTTTTAGGCAAGAGCGGTCTGTTGAGACAACGTTGATTTCACCTGTATGGGACTGCGGGGCAGGGAGCAGGGCTGGGGCGTGGGGAGTGGCCGTGGAGGTACAGATGGCACAGGGAGAGCAGGCTGCCACCAAGGCCTTCAGGGCTCCCTCTGCACGTAGGGGCATCCACCCTCCCTTCACCCTCCTCCACATTCGGCCTGCCCATATTTCAGTTCCTCCCCACCCCAGGCCCTGGTCCGGGCTCCGGCCTCTACCTTAACCACTTCCCCTGTCCCACCGGCTGGCTCCATGTCATCCTTCACGCTCAGCTGCAGTGCCGCCTCCTCGGAGAAGACTTCCCTGACCCCTCCCCACACCCACTCGCTCTTAGCACAGGACCCACTTATTCCCCTCATTTATGCCTGTCTCCCAGGAACCTGTGATCTTTGAAAGCAGGGCCACGTGGTCTTGTTCCTCAGCGTATCCCCTGCACCCAAAACGGTGCCGGCACATGTGGGTACTAAAGACTTGAGTGGAGGGATGGATGGGTAGGGGAACCAGCCGGGGTGGGGCATTAGGGTTCTGTGCCCATGGGCTCCTGCTAAACTCCAGTCTGCATAAGAAGCCCCTGGGGCATGGTAAGCAGCAGATCTCCTGAGAGTTTGGTTCAAGTGGTCGAGGGTCAGGGCCTGGGGTTCTGCATTTTTACCAAACACACCTCCGCCCTGAGGTGTTATGGTGCAGGGAGCCCAGGGACCACACTGAGAATCCCTGCCAAATATTTGTGGTCCCCCGGGAGGATTTTGGTGGGGCAGCAGAGAGCGACGTGATTAGAACCTGGAAACGCAGAAAACAGATGGGACCCAGGAAGGACATTCCCATTTCCCAGAGCCCCCTGACCCTGGGCAGGGAGCCTCCGTGTCGGATAAGGAGGTCCCATGCCTCCGCTCATCCTATTGTCCTTCTGCCCAGTCCCAAAGATGCCTTTCGAGCAATAAAGAAGAGAATCGTGGGGAATAAGAACTTCCACGAGGTGATGCTGGCTCTCACGGTGAGTGCCCTGTCTGTCTGTGTGTCCATGGCAGGACTGGGGTCCACTGGGGATGGCCTCCCCCGGGCCCCGCAGGACTCCCAGCCACCACGGGGCTCCTCTTCCAAGGGCTGGGAGGAAAGGTCTGTGGGCAAAACGTTGTCCTGTCTGCGCTGCTGGCAGAGATGAGTGGCAAGAAAGGCCATTTGGAAAAAAGTTCTGTCCAACCTACTGGCATGGGGATCAGGCACCCCGAGGCCCACATTTTTCCGGAATCAGTCGTGGAGAGCCTGGGCCACAGGACCTGCTAGATAACAGAAGTTCAGTGAACCCAAAATTCTCAGGGGGCAGAAAGCCTGGGAGGCCCAGTTGGTGCTAATTGGTACTTGGACTCCCAGAAAAATGAACATAAAACAAATGCCAGTGGCCGAGGACAGTCCTTGCCCACAACAGGACTAGCTAGGTGTAAGTGGGCATCCCAGCTGTTGGGGTGGCTTTGTCTAGGGAGTGGGGACAAAGCACTTTGTCCCAGCCTCCTCCACAGCATTGTCATATCCAGGTGAATCTGGCTACTCTGAAAAGCAAAATCAGCTTCTGCTGGGCCAGGAACAAGGGGTTAGCACCTTTTCCTCAGGCCGCAGGGTCCTCATTTGAAAGTTCTCTTTGGTTTCCACCTGGAGAGCCACCTTCCCTCCAGACTCTATTCCACCCAGAAACAGCATCAGGACAGAATTCTGTGGGCAATGCCCGCACACCGCCCTTGCCCACCCCAGTCCCCATCAACCAGTCCCCGAATCCCGCATTGTCCCTGCTGGTCCTCGTGCTGGGGCTCACCCCAGGAAGCCCCACTCTCTCAGGCTGCCCTCTGGGACATGAGTGCGAGGTGGGGGTCCTGGGCACTCCCCCTCCTCTGACCGGTGCTTTCGGGCACCTCACGGCACCCAGGTCTTGGAAACCTGCGTCAAAAACTGCGGGCACCGCTTCCACGTGCTGGTGGCCAGCCAGGACTTCGTGGAGGGTGTGCTGGTGAGGACCATCCTGCCCAAGAACAACCCACCCACCATCGTGCACGACAAGGTGCTCAACCTCATCCAGGTGAGCGCGGGCGGGCCAGGGATAGCTAGTGCCAGCTCTTGGCCAAGGAGAAAGGTGCCCACGCCACCGCTGTCCTTTCTCTGTCGGCTTTAGTCTGTTTCTTGTCTGCGGCCACCTTGGTTGTCTGCTGACTGGACGTTCTGAGTGTGGGGGATGTGGAGTGGAGGCTGGGGACATAGTCACAGGACCATCGAGTCAGAAACAGAACTTCTCTGCGGGGCGGGTAGCTGAGCTCACGTGGGATTCAGTGAGCTGCAGTTACCGGCCATGTCCCCTTGTCCCCTCTCAGTCCTGGGCAGACGCGTTCCGCAGCTCGCCCGATTTGACAGGCGTTGTTGCTGTCTACGAGGACCTGCGCAGGAAGGGCCTGGAGTTCCCGATGACTGACCTAGACATGCTGTCGCCCATCCACACGCCCCAGAGGGTAAGGAGACTCACGGGGAGTGCAGTGGTCAGCAGAGGGGGTCTCTGCCCCACTTCCTGTCAGCGCCTGACCTGGGGCCTCACTGACCGGCCTCACTGACCCAGTTGTTTGCCCTCTAGACCGTGTTCAGCTCAGAGACACCATCAGGACAGAATTCTGTGGGCATCGACGCCAGTCATCGAGGGGACTCTAGCCAGCACACGGCCCCTCTGCCCGCCCCTGCTGTACTCTCCAGTGACACGCCCATAGCACCAACCCCTGAGCAGGTAACCGAGCCTGGGCCAGAGTCACGTGTTCCCGGCCCTCCCCACCCGCTCGTCAGGGAGGGGCCCCTGTCAGTATGGAAATGACCACTGTGGAGCCTCCAGTCAGTCCTCACAACAGCCCCACAGGTGTGTATTTCCTGTCTGGGAGATGAGGCTCAGAGAGATACACTGACTTGCCCAGAGCCACACAGCTCATCAGACAGTGCTGGGATTCAGGCTCACGTCTCTTACTCCAAGCAGGCTCTGTCCTGTACCTCGGCTGCTCTCCAGCCATGTTCTCTGTGGAGCACGTCGGGCAGCACCAGGAAAAGGAAGTGCCCAGCAGGCGCCTCTCCAACCACAGCTGCTCCACTTTCTGTGTATGGTTTGCTCATAAGACTTCATGTGAATAGAGGTTCTGACTAAAAACAGTTTTAAGACATCCACACAAAAAATAATTTCAGAAACCTCTGCATTGCATCATGATGCTTCCACGAAGCCCCAAGAAGGTTGGAGGCATAGTGTGAGCTCCTCGGGGACCAGCCCGGGCCAGCTCTTCCCAGGACCCTGTGAGTGGCGATAGATGATCACCCCCTCAGACTAACCGGCACACTGGCTTAGTCAGCCCCTGTCCTGCAGTTTCTTCCTCCTGAAGCTGGAGGCAAAGTCACCCGCCTGTTGACTGTGAACAGTTTGTGGCAGGCAGAAGCTACTCCCTACAAGGGGCGTCCATAGCCATAACCAGGTTTAGCCGAGTGCTCAGTCATTTTAGACTGGGCTCTTGTTATGAGTCAAGGTTGCGTACTGTCAGAGTGTGTTTTACAACCTTCAGACCTGTCACATCAGCTAAATGCAAAAGCTAGGTTGCTGAAAGCGCTGATAAGGCACAGGTGTATGATGGAAACAAAAGTGAAACCTGACTTTGCAGAGCACAGCCAGTGATCCTCTGCACGGCATTGTTCGGATTTATAAATAAGTAAACCTGCCGACGGCCTTTCACACCCTGACCTACTTCAAGAGAAACTTCTGTACTTTGATATCTTATGACAAGTCTATAAAGTTACCTCCCAGAGTTATAGATATTACTAGAAAGGTTTTCCTAACGGGACAAATAATTAGACATACATAAAAACTGTAAAAGCGCCCTGCGATCCAGAATTTATTTATGATTCTAACCCATTTGCCTAAAGCTAGTATCTTTGTGGATTGAGACTGATTACATCTAGTGTAAGAAGGTTCTCACTAAACTCTCACAACTGAACAGTCTTTGTTTAATTTCAGAGTCCCCTTTTGTCTCCTGGGACATGTTATGACTTTGAAGCTCACAGTGGTGTAACTCCCAGACCCCGCTGTAATTGGGTCCCATCTGACCTGCACACGCTGGGTTTGTGATCAGTAGATTTTCCACTCACTTATACCCAGAGTGTTCATTAAATAGGCCAAATGTATCAAACGTTTTTCGGGTTTTAGAAGGTGTCAGTGAACTGTCACAGATATGCTGCCTATGTCTTTGCTCCCACATCTTCATCTGTAAATGCTGGGATAATGATAAATACCTCGTAAGACTGTGGTCAAGTTTTATTAGCAATATACGTTAAATGCTGGGCACTTAGTAGATGGTCAATAAAAGGCAGCAGCTATCACAAGCATCATGAATTCATATTCTGAAACCAACTCGGTCACACAGAATGCATGAGCATTTCCCAAGATATAAGCCACTTAACGCCAGACCCATGAGATATTGCATGATGAAAGGGTGCTTCGGCCAGGTCAATTTTGGAATTTTGATACCGATCCCTTCCTGGGACATCCACAGTGTACACATAAAAGAGACTTAAGTACCCTGCGGAGTCCCACAGCAGAAAACACTGGCCTTCCATCACCTTGCCTGTACATCCTGATTTACAAGGATTTTCCAAGCCAAGACCTTGGATCCTTTGATCATTGAAAACTTGTGAACATCCCTTTAACAAGTGCTAAATCTCAGTTTCATACTCAAGGTAGGGCACTGGGACTCATCCTTAGAAGAACCTAGGACACCAAAGCAGACCAGGAACAAGACGAAATTCCATCAACCAATGAGGGAATCAGGCCTGCTGACTCCCCCTCTCCCCTTTGGGGGAGCCACCCCTGGGGCCTCGTTAGCTACCCTTGGACCCAAGAGATTCTGCAGCCTTCTGGCTGTGCTGTGCGGCGCATTCACCCTCCGCTTCTTTCCTCTTGGCCACCCCCTGCACCAGGTTCCCCGGTTTGGAGATGGTAACGGTTGGTAGTGCCTCTGGGGGGGTGGAAGCAAGCCCACCACGGGTCCCCCAGTGCAGGGCTGTGCCCGGGAGCCGAGAGAGTGTGCTCTCAGGCCAGCTCTTCTAGGCACCACACCCAGGGCCAGCAGCGCCAGGCTCTGTCCCTGTGAGTGGCGATACCTGCAGACCGCTGGCCTCTCTCACCGGGGCCAATGGTGTGTTTCAGATTGGGAAGCTGCGCAGCGAGCTAGAGATGGTGAGCGGGAACGTGCGGGTGATGTCGGAGATGCTGACGGAGCTGGTGCCCACCCAGGCAGAGCCTGCAGACCTGGAGCTGCTACAGGTGAGCACGCATCCTCCCCCCAGGTGACCTCTTGCTCATTTGCCTACACATGTTCCTTCCACACCCAGGCTTCCTCTGAACTCCTTGGTCACCATGGGAGCTGTTAAAACCGGGGACCTTGGACTCCATCAGATTGGAATTCAGGGTTCTGCAGCTTTCTGGGTTGAACAGACTAGCCTCTCTGCCTCAGTTTCCTTATCTGTAAGAGTGCTCTAATAATAGCCTTTATGGTACAAGTTAGACATGACAAATAAGGTTTTTCCCTCCCTGTGCCTGGTTCAGAGTGAGCTCCCAATAATAGTACTGAGGAAAAGCCGGAAGGTGAGGAATAAGCAGGCAGGCACGAGAAAGCAGTGCTGGCTTTGAAAGGAGAGAGCAACTGGTCTCAGGAGCTGAGGCGGGTGGGAGCTGTGGGGTTTCACTCCTGTCTGTCACATGATATTCCCACAGTCCCATCCACAGCTAGGGATGGGGGAGGCACTGGAGCAGAAGGAGCTGGGTTTGGGGAAAGGCACCCTCCCCATGGAGATCAATTCATAGACACTCCGAGAAAGCTCAGGGACAGACCCCAAGGACCAGGAGTCACCAGGACCCAGGCTTGGTGTGATTGTCCCATTTCATGTCAGTCTCCTGCTCGGCCTCCAACTCCTTGAGGGCAAGGCTGTGTTGTCCCCATCCCTGTGTCCCTGCGTCTAACCGAGCTGACGCGGTGTACTTGCTCAGTGGTCCTGGCCTTCGGACAGGAGTAAAGTCGGAATCTCGGAGTTGAAGGAACACATGAGTATGAGGACTGCACAAGCGTTTCTGAGAGAAGCTTGAGTGAGTTAGGAAGCAGCAGGGCTGCTGCAGTGCAGTCGGTTTGGTATTAATTCAGTAAATATAATTTTGGTAAAATATCCTAAGCCAGGGCCGTGCAGTGTGAGCGATTGCTGGAGTGGATGGGCAGGGTCGACAGATAATTTTGGTAAAATATCCTAAGCCAGGGCCGTGCGGCCGTGCTGGAGTAGATGGGCAGGGTCGACAAGGGACAGCGCACATGCCCTGAGCACTTCCCACGTGCCAGGCTCTGATGTGGACGCTCGGTATACATTCACGCACTTGATTCTGGCCCTCTTCCATGAGGTAGGTATTCTTATTATCCCCATTTTCCAGGTCAGCAGACTGAGGCAAAGAGAGGCCATGTACCGTGCTCAGGGGCACGTGGCTTATAAGCAACAGAGCTGGGATTTGAACCCAGTGGCCTGGCTCCACCTGCTCCTCTTCCGCTCTTGAGAGGGCCAGGAAGTGGGACCGAAGCCATAAGTTTGCTCGGTCATGGGACAGAGAGAGGGGAGGCCCGCCGGATGTCGACAGTCACTCGAGCCCACCCTGCCCCACCCCGAAGGCAGATAAGGAAGTCCCGGGAGAAGAAGGCCTTGCCTGCGAAGGGGTGGGTAACGGGGTCCAGAAAAGAACCAGAATCCATACTGGGGCAGTACCTAGTCCTAATCACACCTCTAGGAGAAAAGGGCTGGCGTGCGGCCACAGTCACCAATGACTGATGACTGTCTCTTCGGACCTCAAGACCGTGACCCAGGCACCTGTCCACGTGGTGGTGGGTACCCGAGGAAACACTCAGTCCTACAAATGGGAAACTGATAATGCTGTGGCTTTAAATGTTTTTCTTTTCCCCAAACAAGTTTAAATATGTAATACTACTGATTAAAAGTCAGTCCGTGACATAGTAACTACGTGCCGTGTGGGACCCTGGAACAGAAAACGGCCATTAGTGGAAAAATTGGCGAAGCCTGAGCAGGGTCTGTAGCTTGGTTAATAGCATTATGCTAGTGGTAGCAACTTGGTTTTGACAAGTGCCAACCAAGGAGAAGCTGGGCGAAGGACTTACGGGAACTCTCCGTAGTCTTGGCAACCTCTCTGTAAACGTAATTATTCCAAAGTAAAAGTTTTAAAAAAGACATAAGTCGGTGAGAATAATGAGGCAAAAATTCAAAATCACAGTTTGTGGGTAATAGTTGGAGTCATCCTGTTCCTTTTTCTGTTTTGGTTACAAATAACCCCAGTACACCCGGAGAAGTTGCAGTTTGTTCTGCCAGCCCCCTGGAAGTCTCCATTTTTCAACTTAGCAAAGATGGCAGCAGAAAGAACTTTCCTCGGAAGTCTGCGCGAAGCCAAGTTCAGCCAGCAACACCGCTTAACGTGTTGGTTGTGTCCTGCGTGTTAAGTGTTTGCGTGGGACACTTGGCAGTGTAGAATCCTGGAAGCTGCCCTGTGGAGCTCGAGATCCAGTCTGGAAGCTTCTCCATCCTCCAAGGCACACCCAGAGGCCGGAGCCGTCCATTAGAGGTGGCCTCACTCTGGGTCCGGCGGCCACGGCTGTCTCCCTTCCTTCCGCAGGAGCTCAACCGGACGTGCCGCGCCATGCAGCAGCGGGTCCTGGAGCTCATCCCCCGCATCGCCAACGAGCAGCTGACGGAGGAGCTTCTCATCGTCAACGACAATCTCAACAACGTATTCCTGCGCCACGAACGGTAGCCCACCCCTCCCCGGCTGACGCGACTGCCCCACCCGTCTCCCTTCCCTCCCTCTCTCTCCTGGTCCCCTTTCACCGGCTGTCCCCTCGTCTCCCTCTCCAGCACCAGACCGGCCAGCCGGCGCATGTGTCCTCACCTGTCTCCTTCCAGTGTGGACACGCTTGCCCAGCCTCCCACCCACCTCTCACCTCCTTGCCAGAGTTAGCCGCGCACCTGTGTCCCTGGTCCAGCCCCCGGACGTGGCAGCGGTGGTGGCTGAGACTCTGAGCCCGCAGCCTGGCCTGGCCTTGCTCACCTCACCGCTGCCTGGCTCTGGGGCCTTGGACCTACTTGACTTAATTAGGGCTCATTGATTGCAAGCTACTTACATAAAGCGTTTTTGGCTGACTTAAGCAGAAAAAAGAATTGATTAGGAAAAGAACCTCTATTAAATGGGTAGCTCTTAGAATCCTAAGAAGTGTGAAACGGTGAAGCCTCCCAACAGAGCAGGAAGGTCAGATCCCAGGGTGGTTCAGGGGCTCAAGGGCCAAAACTACTGGACCATGTCCCTAGGATATTGCCACCTCGTGTCATTGTGTTCGGGTGTCAGCTCCCCAAGAGAAACTCTGATCGCCTCAGCTTTGCTGTGCTCACTGGTTGGGGAAGGTGAGGGCCCCTTGATGGCAGTCCCGCCAGGGTCACAGGTAGAACAGTTCCTCGGAGGAGCACTCAGGTGCTCTTAGAAAAGGAGGGAGAAAGGGGCACTGGGCCTGCAGAAATGACACGTCCCCCACACTTCCTTCCTACCTGTAGGTAACTGGGAGTCCACGGTGGGGCCTGTAGTGCTGAGCATCCAGGGCATCCAGTCCAGGGTACCAGTCATCTCAGCTCCCCACCCCCGCCCCGGGCCCTTATTTATTTCGTATCTTCATCCCTTAGCAAACATTCTGATTCTAAATCAGTTGAGAGTGGGGTGGGGCTGCTGCAGGCCACATCCGCCTGGTCGCTCCTGCTTGGCGGCCCAGTGGAATAAAAGAGTCCCCTCCCTGTCATTTCAGGGTGCGGGCTCTGAGATGGCCCAAGGGCCAAATCAGGGTGACTAGAACTCCTCTGACACCCACTGTTATCAGACCGGGCCTAGTTGGCCTGGTTCTTTGCCGTTCACAGTCACTCATTCTTGGCGTATTCGCTTGATCCTCACATCTGGGAAATAGGTCCCCACTGTCACCCTCTTTTTAATAGACAAAGAGACCCAGTCACACAGTTAACAAGTGACAGGGTTAGGACTCGAACAGACCCCAGACCAAGGTCTTCTCGATCCCGCTCACCCGCTGCCTGGCCTGCTGAGGGTAGTCTGAGTGGCTCCACGCAGTGTGAGGTGTGTGTCTTTCTTACACCACTTTAGAGAGCCGCTGGCGCTCGCACACACACAAGTGGACGAGCATGTTACTGAACACCTTTCATAAAGCTACTCACCTTTGCCGTGTGCTGTGCAGTCCCATTTCCTTTTCTATTCTGTTCTTGCTCATTTCCTTATGCTGGTCACGACTAGAGTGGCCAGGTAATTGATAATCCAAATTGGGACACTTTTGCAAGTGAAAGAGAGGCACTGTTAATAACTCCCTGGGGACAGCAGGCATCAGCTAGGTCTGCCCAGGACAAACAAGATGTGTCCTCACCCTCCCTGACCCACTGTGCTGAATGTGAGGCCTGCAGTGGGAACAGCTCTGCCCGGGCAGGGCCCAGGGGCCTCTCGGCCTGTCTCCCTGACTCGGCTCTTCTCTGTCCCGTAGGTTTGAGCGGTTCCGAACAGGCCAGACCCCCAAGGTAAATGGCTTCTTTCCTGTGACTTGATCATGCCCGGGCTAATAGAGAAAAGGAAGTCTGTGTTCACCTCCCCCTGCCCCCCGCCACCAGATATCCTGGATAGGATGTGCCTTCTTATCTAGGCTCCTAGATAAGTCCCCTTCTAACTATATCACTGCCCTTTAAGGCTCTGCTACCAGCTGATGCCCAAGGGTCTTCCTCACTCTCCCAGAGGGAGCAGCAGAGCTAGAGGGGAGGAAGAAAAACTTAAATCATAGCTGTCAGGGCCCTGGTGACAGCTCCTTGGGCGAAGAATGCAAGTGCCAGTGCTTGGGGAGGAGGGGAGGAGGCTACAGGGAGGATGGTGTTGGCATCTCCCCTCCCCACAGGCCCCAGGCGAGGCTGAGGCGGCAGCTGACCTCATCGACATGGGCCCTGACCCAGCGGCCACCGGCAACCTCTCCTCCCAGCTGGCGGGAATGAGTGAGTACGGGGCACCCCTGTAGTTCTCGGAGTGCAGCAGAACATCACCCCAGACCCCACCTCACTGGGGTCCCAAGCTGAATCTTGCTGCAAGGTTACACACCCAAGACAAAATGCATGGGCCTCTCCCTCACAGCCCATCACTGCTGGGCCCTCTCAAATCTCAGAACCCCACCTTTCTGAGATTGCCCCTGACTCTGAATTCTCCATGGCCTGAATCACCTGAGTGAGCTTGGTCATGTCACTTAAACGTTCTGTGTCCGTCCTTTCTCCTCTGTCACGGGCAGGAACGGGCCATTTTCACAGGTCGTCATTAGGACTGAATGAGCTCGTGCATGAGCCAGGCTTAGACCAGTGCCCGGCCCAGAGGGCGCTCCTGCTACATGTTAGCAATCGGCACTGTATCACCGTGATGGGTTTTAATTAATGTTACTGACTGCCTGCTTCATGCCAAGCCCTAGGAGATAATGAGAGAGGAAGTGACTGTGCCCCATCCGTACGTCCCACCCTGTCTCTACTCCTACCCATGCCACTTATCCAGAACCACCCCTGGGCCTGGCAGGGAACAGCTCAGCTATGGCAGGATAGCCAGGAGGACTTTTACGTGGCCTTTCTGTCCCTGCAGACCTGGGCTCCAGCAGCGTGAGGGCTGGCCTGCAGTCTCTGGAGACCTCTGGCCGATTGGAAGATGAGTTTGACATGTTTGCGTTGACACGAGGCAGCTCACTGGCTGGAGTGAGTGGCCTGGCCCTATCCTGGTCCCCTGCAGTGTGAGTCACTCCCTATCAGGAGAGAGCCTCTCTCCGGGTCCCTGAACCTGGCTTATTGGTGGGCACGTTATGTAGAGAAGCATGCAGCCGCCTGCCCCCACTCCTTCAGGATGGCAGAGTTTCTTGCCCCCTAAGTCAGTCTCGCTAGCCTGAGGCCAGGTGGCAGACTGTGCCCCACGGGGCAAGGCTGGATGGGGGAAGGATCGCCTGTAAGTTGACCAGCTGTGTGCCAGAATCTTATCTAATCTGATCAGATGAGGAAACTGAGGCACGAAGAGGCTGGGCCATTTTCCCTAGGTCAGGCAGCTAATTGGCTTACTAGGTTGGGAGCCCAGGGTTGTCTGGTTCCAAAACTGTCTCCAATAGGACCCAGGTCCCCACTGCACAGTGCACAATGCACCAAGCCCTCCGGGGCAGGTGGGGAGGTTCCTGATAAATCCTCGGGCTTGTCTAGGCATTTCTGTTCTTCCATAGCCATCCTTAGTCTCCAGAGAAGTCCCTGTTGCCCCACTCAGGTCTGCCCACTCTGCACCAGAGCTAGAGTTCTGTCCATTTTCAGGGAGATGCTTTCAGCAGTCTAAGCACGTGGCCGAGTGTACCAGAGCTGGCCCCTTGCCTCAACTTCCCATGACGGACTGCACACAGGTGTGTCCGGGAGGCAGTGTGCCGAGGCTTGTTGCCCTTGCTTATGACTCCAAGGCTGAGCTGGGGGCAGCCAGGATGGACAGCCAAGGAAAGCTCCAGATTAAGGCCACCACCCACCCCTGGCTCCCTGGTTGTCGTTCTGGTGTCTGGGAACTGTTGATGGGCCTCCAGAGGGCCAGAGACACCGTCTTCGCACTGGCAAATCCACGCGCAGCCCGCCTGAGCTGTGAGCCACATCATTGGCCTGGGGCAGAGTCTGTACTCCCAAGCCCAGGTGCTCTGGGACCAGCGGCTCATGGTTGCCATGGAGTTAGGGGCAGTATGAGCTACTGTGCTGGTGGAAACTAATGAGTCCAGTGGGACTTGCAGCCAGGAGGGTGGCCTACCCATGTAGGCCCCAGCCGGCGGCACACTGGTCACACCAGAGAGCCCCTGGCACCTGGTCCAGCTCTCCAGGCTGGCTGATGTTTGCTGGTGCATTGTCACTCCACTGGGGAGCAGGGCCCTGAGTGACAGAGAAAAACACACCCAGAGCATGTTCTCCAAGGCCTGCCAACTCTGGGTGAGTGACGTGCATGCAGACCACTGCCATGCTGTGCAAAGTACTGTCCTAGAGGTTTACCACACCGCGGCCTGGACAGTGGCTGGAGAAGCTCAAAGTGGTCATTTCAGGCCATGGGAACAGCATGTACAAAGGCTCAGATGCAGGGGCCAGCATGAGACACCGGCGGTAGGGCGGATGCGCTAAGACGAGGTCACGCACCTTCTCAGGTCGCGGGCCGTCCTGCAGTCCTCCCTGCGACTGGTTTCTGCCCCAGTAGAAAGTGCCCTGCAGGGGACAGAAACGGGCCCTAGCTTGGAGCTCCGCTTTCCTTTGTTCTCGGGCCTGACTGTCCTTCCCTCATGCTCCAGCTGGATCTTCTAGCCCTGGTCACCTGAGTGGCCTCTGGACTCCTCACCTTGCCCTGTCCCCTGGGACTCTGGAATCCTCCCAGGCCCTTTCCATCTACCTGGTGTCCGGCCCACGCCTCCCTCCAGCCTGCGCCGGCTCTGTCTCTGCTCACTGGAAGCCAGCTCCTTGTCAGCCCCTCTGTTTCTGCTCCAGCTGACACACAGCTGACCAGTCCCAGCCTCTCCACCTGACCATGCCCTTCCACTTGGGACACCAGGGAGAGCGCCAGGGGCACCTGAGCAAGCAGGTCAGAGACGCCTTAGTCAGGCTTTGCTGGAAGCAGGAGGCTCTTCCTCAGCTTTTTCCGTATCATCATTCTGGGAACGTGCTCTACCTCCTCCCAGAGTGTCCCCAAGTCCAGTCCCTGGTCACCAGCCTCCCTGGGACCATTTGAGAAGCGACCCTCCCTCCTGAGCTGGCCACAGACACCCCCCTCTATCCTCACGTGAGCTGGCATGCCTGGTACAGCAAGAGCAGCATCTAACAGCTGTGGTGGTCTCTGTGTTTCAGGGTAAAGTATGAAGACCCCCAAGCTACAGACGGCCTGGCCGGCGCCCTGGACGCCCGACAGCAGAGCACTGGAGCGGTAAGCAGAGGGCCCTGCTGCCAGTTGGGGCCTGTCCTGCAGGAAGGCCAGGGAAGGCCTGCCCTGGCTTGGCATGTCCACATGTGGTTCTCCAGTTGGCCTTTTGTAGCCAATGTAATTGTTCCCGTTTCACAGTTGAAGAAACAAGTTAAGTCATGTGGCCAAGTTCACACACAAGAAGGGTTGGAGCAAGGACTCCATCTGTGACGGAGCTGGAGTCCAGCAGCCCAGGTTTCCTCCCCAGCTCCACCTACCAGCCGTGTGTCCTTACGCAGATGACTCCCCGTCCTGACCTTTGGTTTCCCCGTCTGTGTCCTGGGGCTCATAGTAGTACCTACGTGTTTATGACAGGATGCATGAGGAGGTATATTAAGGTGCCTGGCACAGTGAGAGCTCAGTCACAGCCTCTTTAGAGACTTGTTCTTTGCAGGAGAATGGACAGAGGGGGCCAAGAGAATACAGAACAAGAGCTGCAGTGTCAGCCCCTGCTTCTCCCAACCCGTCAGCCTTGCATTTCCTCCCAGCTCCCTGCCGGCCTTCCCGCCTACAGCCACAAGCCTACAACCACAGGGAGGCAGCCTGGGCACCAGTTTAGTTCCATTTCATTGCTGACTGTGTAGTGAGTGACAGCCACGTGCCACTGAGCATGCTCTGTGGGTGACCCATTCCCCTTGGCAACAACTCCAAGCGCAGTTCTCATGTCTCTGAATTTGTTTCTCGATGCCTTTCAGGCAGTGACAATTTCTGTCCCAGTAAATGGACAGAGTAGCCGCTTGGGAGGTGGTTCGAAACAGCAGGACCTGTGAGTGGGACAGGCAGGGGCAGTGAAGGGGCTGGCAGAGGAGAAGGTCGGTGGCAGCGCAGGGCTTCTGAGGCCAGGGCGGGACTGGCTGGTGGGAGACGAAACCTCAGGGGCAACCAGGGAGACTGTGGGTTTTATTTTGTCCGAGGCCAGTCTGAAGCAGCAGAGAACATTGATCCAACTGCTATTTTAGAAGGGTCCGGCATGGAAGCTGGGAAAGCAATTAGGAAGCTGCAGACGCCACCCACTCTACTGGGTGTCCCAGCTGATCCCCAGAGACGTCCCCAGACTCTCAGGAGTCGAAACAGGGCAAGACCTGGAACGCTGTGGAGGCAGCACCAGCAGGGGAATCAGGTGCCTCCTGTGTGTGTTGTGTGACCCCGCAGAGCATATCTATGCACCGCGTCTCAGAGCCTCCTGTCATTTTTCCTTGTAAGCAGTCGTTTGTCGAGTCTGCACTCTGTGCTCGGTCCTGTCCTGAGCTCTCTGCATCTCCCCTTCACTGAGTCATCACCCAGACCTTTGAGGTGTGTTATTATCCCCTTTCACAGATGAGAAAACTGAGTCCCGAGAGAGGTTAAGTGAGACAGCAGGTGTAACATCCTTAGCATGGTGCCTGGCACATAACGAAGTGTTTAATCTTCATAGTACTGCTGTGTGGTCATCGCCCTTACAGAGCAGAGCACCGAGGCTTAGGATTGTGAGGTCGTCTCCCAGGGGCTCACAGCTGTTGGTCTGTCCAACTCTGAAGCCATTGCTGGTGACAAGAACTCCAGATGGCCTGCAAAGCTCGAAGGAGAAATGAACGCTCCCCTGCTCAGCCTCCCTTTTCCAAGAGCCGTCATTCTGGCTCCAGGAATTCAGTTGAATCCAGACCCTCGGGAAGCCTGCCGAAAGCACTTCCCTCTTGGGCCACCTGGCCTCTCATGGGCCGGGGCTGACTCCACAGCCCAGCGGGCAACAACCCCACCCAGCCCCTTCCTGTTGCAGGTGAGGGAGCTGCAGCCCCGAGATGGGCGTCACTTGCCCAGGGGCACACAGCTACTCAGGGACACGGCGAGAACTAGAACCCAGGGCTCCTGGCTCCTCCGCTACTCGCAGTTGGCCACGAGCAGGAAACACACACTTGCAGAAAAGCAGAAGCTGATAAGTTGTGGCTCATTCATCTCTGATGACTTGAGAGAGTGAGGCGCCTTCTACCAGATCAGGATATGACCTTCTTAAAACTGTCAGTAAACAGCTGTTCCCAAGGTGCTCGGGTCTGGCTGGTGGCAAGACGCTCCCATGAAACTGTCAGAACGTGATTCTAAGCAGCCCAGTCCAGAATGGAATCAGTGCCAGCTCCGTGGCAGCCAGTGTGCCAGGCCCTGTGCGGGGTCTGACCAGGGTGGGGAGGCAGTCACAGGTGATGGATCAGGAGCCAGGACTCTCATCTCCCTCTCCTACCTGTCTGCTCTGGGCCCCTTGGGAACCTCCAGTTTGCCCGTCAGTAAAACGTGAGGGGACTGCGTAAACCAGTGTTTCTAAGCCTGAGATGCCCATCAGGATTTCCTGAGAGCCGGCCGGCAGGCTAGTGGCTGCCTGCTCTGCCATCCTGGGGTTACTCAGGCCCACGCTCGGGATCTTTCGGGAAAGGGAGAAAAAGCTTTGCCCAGCCCTTTTAGGGCTCTGGGGACCCAGAGGTGTTGTGGTTCACAGCGAGACACCCTCTGCTGCTTCCCGTCCCCTTTCACCGGCCACCACACCCACCACATAGCTGCACAAGCGTGCACACGCACACACAGGCCTCCGCAGGTGGTAGCAGGCCGGCTGACCTAAAAGGGGCGTCCATGCTGGAGAAGGCTGCCAGCGCAGCAGTGGCCTTGGCCCTGCCCTTGCCACCCCTCAGTGTGACCCTTTCTCACCCAGATGGGAGGCAGCGGTGAGAAGAGCCTCAGTGACTGGATGGTGAGACAAGGCATGGTGAGGAGGGGCCACCAGAGAGCTGGGGCTGCCACTCGCAGGGTCCCACCGAGTGACACCGTCGGAGGGAACGGGACCCTTAGACCCAGAGGAGAACAAGGGCCGCCTGGGGGCACACGGCACGGTCCCACTCCCTCCACTCCTGCTTCCAGGGACCCTCGGTGCCCACTTCCGGCTCCTGACTGGGAAGCAAGGCCTAGGGCAGCTGAGGGGCCTGGGGCTCGCCTGGCTCTGGGCCAGCAGGAAGCTGAGTGGCAGAGGGAGCTGCTGTGGGAAGCCCAGAGTGCTCGCTGCTGGGAAGTCGGCTCCTGCCTCTTCTCTGGGCTTCTTGCTGCCCACTGCGGCCTCAGGTGCTGGGGACAGAGCCTGGGGATGGAACTGGCTTGGTTGGAGAAAGACTCACTCTCCCTCTCTTTCCCAAAATAGCTAACTGGTAACTAGCATTTCTTGAGCATCTACTCTGTGCCAGGCACTGTGCTAAGCTCTTTATATCCATCATCTCGTTTAATCCTCACAGCAACCTGGATGGTAGGTACTGTCATTATTCTCTTTAGAGATGAGTGAAGTGAGGTTCAGAGAAGTTAAGTAACCTGCCCAAACTCACAGTGTACCGAGGGGCTGAGCCAGATTCCAGTCTGACTCCAAAGTCTGTGCCCAGAACCTCTAATCAGATCTCCCACTGAAGAAGCATTCAGAGAAGGCAGCCTCCAGCCCCTGCGCAGGAGACTTTGTGGCAGAGCCTATGTCTTTGTGGCCCAGAGTGAAATGTCCCCACGCATAGCCACAGCCTCCCTTTCCAGGTCACCTCGGCACCTCCCTCCACTCCAGCCCTTCACCATGAGCTCTGTGTCTGCGGACGTGCAGGAAGACAGAATCTAGCGGCCTGTCCCACAATTATGACTCCACCCCAACCTTGATGGCTGGCCCCTCCCTGGGCTCAGTGCATCCTTCTGTCACTGGGCCTGCCTGGGGTTGGAGCCCTCAGTGTGAAGAAGCTAGATGTCCATTCTCTCCCCTGGTTCTGCTCCAGCTGTTAAAAGACCCCTCCCCATCCCTTCTTAGTCCTACATCCCCCTTGCCCACAGCCTGGAATCAGGAGTCCCAGGCAGCTGGGCAGGAGCCATCTTAGAGGGAATGCCAGGATCTTGACCCTCCCCCTCCAGAAGGGAGCAGGGCAGGTCTGACTGGCCCCATTTCAGAAGTGAGAAGTCTCTGAAGTGGGTGACTGCCCCAGGCCACCCAGCCGGTAGACCCCGAGCTGGTGGGGTCTTGGGCCTTGTCGCCCAGTGCACTGCCCCTCTCTGCCTCACTCTCCTCCTTTCCTTCCAGATCCCCGTCACCCAGGCCTGCCTGATGGAGGACATCGAGCAGTGGCTGTCCACTGACGTGGTAAGTCGGGGTCCGCTCAGCCAAGGAGTAAAGGTCCAGGCCCACTCCTCACCCACCTGACGGCTCCCATTTTTCTCGTGAGGAAGTGGCTGGTCGTGGGGGCAGGGTAAACAGCTAGTGGGTGACAAGGGGAGCATTGCTGTGGGGCACCTCAGCAGCTGGAAGTGACCCGTCCCCTGCTAGGTGCCTGCCTCTTCTGGGCCCCTCCCCTTCCCGGAGCAAGCTGCCAGTGTGGGGTCCCAGCGGGTGTCAGGGCTCTCCGGAGCCCTGCTGGCCCCACCGAGCTCCCTCCCCGGCATCTGCCACCCGCCTCTCTGGGCACCAAGAACCAAGTTCTTGGGCACGTCCAGGCCCAGAGGCCGCCTTCTGCAAGGCACCAAGAGCATGTTTCTGCCCAAGGTCAAGCAAGGGTCCATGTCTTTATCTCTGGTGGTGGCAGAGGCTTACCCGCTCCCCAGTCCCCAAATTGAGTGTGCCTGGCCTCAGTCTCTGGGTGTCCGTCTACCATACGGGAGTCCGTCCACTGGTACCACACTGTGCTTGGCACTCTGCCCGTAGTGTTACGTCTTAGCTTCCCAACAGCACTGCGAATTTTACCAAGCAGAAAACAGGCTCAGTGACACCCAAGGCCAGGTGACTCGGGTTGAGGGTGGGAGGCGGTGGTTCAGGTCTGGTTCACTCTGGGTCAGCAGCCTGAGCCCCACCTCACCCTGCCAGGCTCCGCCCTGCCCCACCACACCCAGCTAACTTCTGCCTCCTTCTGCTTTCTCAGGGGAATGACCCAGAAGAGCCCAAGGGCGTCACCAGTGAAGGTAGTGGACCCTGGCCCTGCCCAGCACCCCATCCCCTGCTCCAGCCTCAGAGCCCACCCCCAGCCTCTCTCTTGTTTCTCTAGAATTTGACAAGTTCCTGGAAGAACGGGCCAAAGTGGCTGATCAGTTGCCCAACCTCTCCAGCCCCTCAGCCGAGGGCCCCCCAGGCCCCCCTCCTGGCACTGTCCCTCGAAAGAAGACCCAGGAGAAAGATGACGACATGCTGTTTGCCTTATAAGTGGGGTCTGGCACCCTGCAGCCCGAACCCCCACTGCTCCCACACCCCTTGGCCGGGGCCTCTCTCCCTCCTTCGGTATTAAGGCTGCTTTGGGGGTAGCTTGTTGCTCCCTTCTCTCTTCCTTGAGGCTGGGCCATACTGTTTGGGGCTGTGAGGAGGCAACCAGATGAATGGGGGAAAAGGTCGGTTCTACGTTGGGATCCTGGCCATTCCTGCCTCCTTCCCCACCCCAGCCGACCACTGACTTTGCTGAGACCTGGGAGGCCTGGGACAGACATGCTGGCTGCTTGGTCACCCTAAGGTGACTCTCCTTGTCCTGGGTGGTCCCATCCCTGGACCCATCATCCCCAGAAGAACCCTATTCAGAGCCCACACTGCCAGTTGAGGCCTAGCTAGAGGCCAGAGACAGAAGCTTCTGTTGCAACCTCTGGTTTCTGCCTGGGCCCCTGCCTCAGCCAGCCGTCAAGGGCAGGGTTTGTGTCCCTCTGCTGAGCTGCACACTGTCCAGGTACGAAGCTGCACATGGCGGGGCGAGAGATCCTCCACCCTAGGCTGCAGGGGAGGCTGCAGGGGCGCCTGGAGCACCTGCGGCCCCCACAGTCTCCTCCACTGCCTTTTCCTCCATCTGTCCTCTTCCCACCAGGCATGGGCCCGCCCACCTGTCGGCTGATGCTCTTACACTGGGAGAGGTGCCTTTTGTGTCCCCAATTAAAGGTAGAAAACCACCCTGCTAGCGGCGTTCAGTCTCCAGGTGGGAGGTGACCTCTCGGTCTCAGCTGGCAGGGTCTACTTGGGGCTGGGCTGGGGGCCGTCCAGGAGGTGGGCATCCGCAGGTGGCACAGGTGGAGCAGCAGGACTGGGCCCGCAGCAGCACCACTCCCTAGGGACAGGTGGGTGCGGCCCCCTCACACCTCACACAGCTGGCAGGGTCTACTTGGGGCTGGGCTGGGGGCTGTCCAGGAGGTGGGCATCCGCAGACTCCAGCCACGATTTGCCCTGCCAGGAGTCCCCATTGCCCTCCCTCTGAGTGACACCCCTACACGCTCAGGGCACCTTCACACTGCTATACCCCCTCAGGCCAGCTCCTGCCCTGAGGCAGCAATACAGCAGTCACGGGGCAGAAACACGTGTGGACGGTGTCGGCGTTTCGGGGAATGGTCCTGCAGGCGGGGACCAGACATCCTATGCACACGGGCTCTTGGAACCGTCACAACCCTGGGCGAAGTGGTTACCGTCTGGTCTCAGACACTGAGGCTGTTAGTCATGTGGGCTGCCCAGCGCAGGAAAAAGGGCACAGGTGCAGTTTCTTATCACATGCTGGGCACTTCCTCATGCCTCAGTTCATTGCCATCATTTTTCAGGTGACAGCCCTGAGGCTCCATGTGGGTGACTTGGCCCACAGCTCAAGGAACTGGGTCACAGGTCAGGCACGGGGCGTCAGTGCTTATCTCAGTCCTGGCAGCTCGAGAGCTCCAAGTCTCGGGTACCGCCTTCTCCAGTCTGGAGTCTCCACCAGGCTCCTGAGAGTCACACGTGAGGCCTGTCAGCGCCTTCTGGCCCAGCTCTCCATGGCGGACGGGCAGGGAGCTGGCGTGGGGCTAGCGAGATCAATCTGGCTGAAAGGGCAGCCCGTGGAGGGAGAAGAAGTCAGAATGCCTGGGCCCAGGGGCACCTGGGCTGTGAGTGTGGCCCAGGTCTCTGTGAACGGCCACCAGCTCCCATCAGCAGCAGGCCGTCAGCACCTGCATTCTGAGGTGTGGCCTGGAGCTGGGCACACAAGACCAGGCTGAGCCAGCCCTCCAGGTGGAGTTGGGCAAGGAAAGCAGCTTGGGGACCGGTACAATGAGACCC